AACCTTAGAAAACATATATATATATATATATTTGTTTTTTTTTATTTGTGCTGATAAATAAAAAAAACACAAATATAACAAAAAGGCAACAGTAAAAATATTGGGTTTCTGTCGTGATGGACTCTTGTGACGAGCCGATTGACAGATGATGGAAGCAGTTAGCTTCCTCCCATAGTTGGGGCTTACCAGGGGTTGTAAACAATGTCACTTGTCTGTCATGATATCAAAAGATAGCAATATGAATATGAAGCCCCTATGCTGATACAGTGGCCTAACACCTAAGCTGTAGTAAAGAGTTGTTGTTTTTAAAGATAGAAGGTACCTTATTTCAAGGATAATAGGATATAAATTATATGAAAAGTATTTTCAATTTTAAATTGATTGGAAAAGAACAACAGATTTATGAAGTACGCACTAAGCAATTTGCAGGTATAAAAGGGCAGCTGCTTTTTTCATAAACACCTTGGATTTGTGACCTATGCCCATAAACAGCATTCTTTTGCTTTTATGTATTTGATCTATCCTTAAACAAACAAAAAATATTTTTGGAGTCAATGGTATTCTTTTTCCTGAATGGTATGTAATTTTAATTTGGAAAAATAATACTTCTATGGATAAATACTTGGGCAGTTTTCTTAAAAAGAAAAAACCACAGGTGCAAAAACTGTATGAATGAAGCAAAAGGTCCATAAAAATCTCACATCTTGCGCTATCTAGTAATAGTAAAAGGTTTTGCCTTACCAAAGTCTAATTTAAGTTCTCAATTACTGCTGGAAGAAATTCATTCACTTAATATGTATATGTTTTCACAAACGTCAAATTTTTATTATACAGATAGTCCTCAAGTTACGACCAATTGTTCAAGCAGCTGTTTGAAGTTATGGTATTGTTTATGTTCAGTGACTGTTTGAAGCTACGGTGGTGCTGAATAAATGGTACTTATACCAGGTCCCTTAGGTTAGAGCAGTTTGTAGCACCCATATGTCATATAACCAAAATTAGGATGCTTGGCAGCTCATTTCTATTTTTATGACAGCAGCATCAAAAAATGGTGAAAGTGAGTGGTGGAGAACAGGTGGTCAAAAGCCTTGAAGCGCAGGGGGCCAAGAGGGAAAAGAAGGGGAAATTGAAAGGAAGGTGGTTCCTTATCTTGGAAGAACCAATGCCCAGGGCTGGGAGGGGCCAAGCTGCAAGAATGGGTCCCTGGCTAGTGACTGATGGGATTCAGTTAATGACGGCAGTAAGAACTGCTGAGATTGCCAACACGTGAAATTGCACTTTATGATCACATTGTTTAGAGATGGAAATTCCAGTCTTAACTGCTGTGGTAACTCAAGGACTATCTCTATAGGGACATACATAATGTGTCATTCCTGAATATGAGGAACCTGTGGCCTTCCAGTTATTGATGAGCTATAATTCCCAGTAGTTATCACTAGTTATGTTGCCCGAGGCTACCAGAGCTGGCACTCAGCAAAATCTAGACAGCTTAATAAGTTTATCTGCAGATAGAAAAACCTAAAATTATAAACACTTGTCAATATTTGTAAGGCACTGCGAAATAATTTGCTTAAAAGTTGCTCAACCCCCCATATGCTTATTTAGTCAAAAAGATATTACAGCAAAAATTGGCAAAATTTAAATAAACTAGCTTTGGGCATTGGCACAAAAAAGACTATAAAGACCAGATGTTAAAAAAAAAAATATGTTCAGGTCTGATTATTTGTTCTTTTTGCAAAAGAATAAGTGTGTGTTAAGTTTTCATTAAGAATCTGATCTTTCACTCAGACCTATTTTTTTAGTTTACATATTGTAAGGCTTTAAAATGTATGGTTCAAAGACAGAAGAATAAGATACAGGAATACAGAATTCTCCAGGAAATAGTACAGGACTAGATGTTGGCAATATTCAAAAGCAAAATGTGAGATGTTTATTTCAAAGCATTTCTGTATTCTTGCAACCTACAGTGTAATCATGTACAAAAGATACACTGAAGGATTTAACAAAGGACCGGCACAAGGTACGCCATAATCTTTAAAAATGTTGGAACTGAGCGCGGTTAATCTGCTAACAAAGATACAACAGCAGAAACAGATGGGACTCATGGAAGGCAGAAGGAGGAGCTTACTTATGGCATAGCCTATATTTTTTTAAACTGCAGTTTTATCCCTTTTATAGCATATTGTTACAACCTACATCTGGTACAAAGATATTCTGACCTATTATCTTCAGTGGAAGAGATGGGAAAAATGTATTTCATTTGTTCATGAATATAATACATGCCAGGCAAAGCAAAGCAAAGCAAAAGATACAACATAAATAAATTTGAGAAATATATAAAACTCATTGTTCTGTATCTACTCTCTAAAGAACTACAGATGCCAGATTTATCTGTAGTCCATTTTGTGCATTCTAGAAGAAAGCCCTATGACTAGCAACAGTGGACAAAACACTGTGCCACTATGCACTGTTAATATACTGGTTCAAGTCAGCTGCATTTCTCTTGCATGCTCATTCTTTCCTCTCATCCTCTGATACAAAAAACACAACCAGGTAGTTTCTTAGGGTACAAATGGAATATAGCCTATGCAAGGTTGTGGTTTAGGAACTAAACTAAGATGGGAGAAATGTAAATTCAAGTCCATCTTAAGTCATGAAGACACATTAAGTAACTTTGGGCATTACTGGGTCCTCGCAAGGATAAAATAGAATATTCAAGTACTATACCAGCGGTGTCAAACTCGATTTTACTGAAGGCCTTATTAGGGTTGTGTTTGACCTTGGGGGGCCAGGGTGGGCGTCACTCATGTTGGGGGGTGCCTATGGTGGCACAAGCACTCTGCCAACAAAAACGGGTTCCTGAACTTCGTTTACAGCTGGGGTGGCCTCCTGCAAACCTCTGCCAGAGAAAATGCGTGCAGCCCTCCTCAGCTCTGTTTTCGCTGGCACAATCACCGCAGGCCGGTCCTTTGCTGTTTTCAGGGTGGCCGTGCATACCAGATCTGAGCACCCAGTAGGCCGGATCCAACCCCGGGCCTTGACTTTGACATCGCTGTACTATAATATAGGGGTGCAATAGCGGTTCTATAAATATGTAGACAGTCAATAGAAGACAGTAAAAAAGAATTTTCTTCCATCTGGAGGTTGTCCAGATCTTTCTGCCAATATATGGCAGCCCAAAATGTACTATATATGAATTCTTGATGAAAAAATAGGATATAAAGTGAACAATCAGTTGGGCCAAAGGATCGGCTGGTTCAGGTAAGGGCTACGGTATTGGTCCTACATTGGTTCAGTGTAACTGGGTATCTTCTCTATCATTTTCTGATTTTGTTTCTTATTTTGGATTTTAATAGGTTCTCCTATAATAGTATATGAACATGAATAGTTTTGCCAGCATTCCAGGTCTTCAGTTCCTGGTATTCCTGATTGGTTCTTGAAGAAGTACACGTGAGGAGGTTGACAAGCAAGGTCAATTAACACACGATGAGTCTTTCTACCCCTCAAGTTAGGAAATTCTCAGTGGAGCTTATTGTTTAATTATTTTGTTTAAGGCATACAAAAATATGAGTAGGCAGATACCTGCCCCTGCTTGAATGTCCACTACTACTTCCTGGTTCCTTATTCTTAATATTAGATCTCTGCAGCTTTCTTTTAAAAGAATGTGAGTCTACATTTCCATTTGTCATGTTTCCTCAATAGTTCTTTTGGTTGCTAGGCAAAAATATTTCTATTCTTGATGGGACAGGAATGCTTGAGGATATAGTATTGTGCAGCTTTTCCTTTCTTCTTTTAATGTGCTAAGCTCATGAAAGAATTTATAAATATAGTATAAGGGAATTCAAAGTCATCCTTGTAGGGATGGGAAATATTACTTATGGGTTCTTGCTGTTGTTATATTGAACCTGATGAAGGTCCCTGTGTTTTGTGTGAATATAGTGACAAAAATGTGCTAGGTTTATACTTCTAATTTCCCTAGATCCATTCAACATTAGTAGGCATGTGATTATTAGAACAATTTCCATTGCAGTTTTTCCAAGGCCTTTGCAGACATTTCAGGCATTTCTGAGTCATTTTTATTATTTGTATTTTTTCCCCTTTCCGTATACACTGTATATAATGACCATTCTGATAGCAACACGACTCTAATTATAAAACAACTTAAGCATGAGTGCAGGACTGCTCTATTAGTATATAACCAGCACTTTTGTACTGTTCCATAACTGCAATTTTAAATTTAATGTTGCTGCTGAATTACTGACCATTATATTCAAAGGAAACCGAATGGAAAAGAAATATATACTGTGCGTGTTTGTATAAAAAGATAAAAAGTGTTATGTCTATAATTCGAAACCATGTCTCAGTAAGAAATTAAACTTCATATTATCATTAGCGCTTCGGCAATAAATACCTGAATCAACTAATGCTTCAAAACAAAAAAATGTAGCATTATTTCTCAATGTGTTCTGTTTCATAGGAAGTGAAGTGGGGAGCGTGATCAAAATCCAAGATTAATTTAAGTTATCAGTATTTTAGTTCTTCATTTGTGAAAGATTGCATCAAAGATCTTATTGTACTATGACATTGTTCATTTTTGTCAATACTTTATATTTATTTCTTAAAAGGAAAATATACATGCTCAAACTGAAAACTCAAAATGATAGCATGTCAAGGTATCAAAATCATAATAAATATTAATTCCAAATGTTAAATATATAGTTTATACTATATAGTATATAAGCAGATAAATTACAAAATATAGCTATAACATGGTATAACATACCATATGTGAATTTAATGGGAAGTATTGTATTAAAAATAACTTCTGTTAAAGAAAAATCCTAAATTCTATTTTTATATAACCCCGACTTGTATAAAGAAATTGTAGCAATGACTTATTCTGGGGTCAAGTGATTCTAAATATGCTGAGTTGGCATGTTTCCATCTCCAGAACTATAATACCTGTCTCACGTTGCTGTTCTCCATTCATTTCCACAGCAATCTGGTAATACGGCTCGGGAACAGGAAATAGAAAAACTCACTGGGTCACTGTCTTGATCTCATCAGCATCCCAATGTCTGCTTCTTCAAGCTTTGTGTTGAAGCAAAAACTGTGAATAAAATTTAGAGGCAACTTTTTATTCTTAAATTTAAAGCTACGTTTTGTTTCGTTCATTTCTGTAGAATTAGAACAAGCTAAGTCAGCACTTCTACTTGATTCTATCCCAAAAACAAAAGGTGTTTTGTTACAGAAACCTACAATGCCACAGACTATTATAAACAGAGAGAGTAAAAGGAGGACACAGGTTCACTTTTAAGTTATAAATTCATTTTGTCTTTCATACAATTTCTTAAGCCCATCAAAAATAAAGAGTCCCTAATTTTGTGTACCTTAACTAATTCCAAATAAGTAACATAAAGTAGATATTCTTCACATGAGAAACTTCTGTCAGAGTTTAAATATCTGGAAAGTTTGCAAACAATTCTAAAAGTATTAAAATTGTTATACCATCAAGTAGGAATACCCTAGTATCAGCAATAGATAAATTGGCTGGGTTACAAGAAATAGATTGCACTATTAAGTAAATAATCTTTTGACTGAACCTTTGTTCATTAAACCTTTGGCTTAACATTCTCGTTAAACAGCCACACATATTGGTGGGCACAATATTGATATATACTTGTTAACTAGGTCTTCTGTATATTGTATGAAAACATCCACTGTTTTGACTTTAGAACCCAAGAGACTGCCAGAGAGGTATATCAGCAACTGTTACTAAGACAGTTGGCAAAATGCTCTAGGAATCATATTATGTAATACTACAGACATATTATTTCTTACAAATAAGACAATTATATTGATGATAAGGGGAAAAATACAAAATACATATTAAGATAATACTTATAATATTTATTTATATATTAATTATATTTATGCCAAATGAAAATTAGCAAATTACTAGCAATAGTAGTATAATACAAGTACTTTTAAGTTTTCAGAAAGTTTCCACTCTTCAAAAAGCAAGATAATTAAAAAAAGACAAAGGAATAAATCTCACTATGATAAATTTAACTTGTTGCAAATTCTCAGCTGACTTAAGAAAGAAGCTATCTTAACAAAGAATTTGGATTTTCTACCTTTCTTAGTACGCCATAGTATACTATCAGATAATATTAGGTTATTTTTATGAGTGGTTATACTTTACCTTTGGAAAAAAAACAGCTGAATAATTTAATTCTTGTTAAATCTCAATATTTGAATAATTACTTATTACCTTTTGGTTCCACAAGATCTTTCAATATACCACATTAACTAATTTCACCTATGTAAGAAGACACTTTCTTACACTTAGATTGTAACCCAGGTTAATATTTTCAACATCTCCCAATGCATTTCATGGCCTAAGTCCAAATGTTATTAGTAATTTTCAGTACAAAGATGGGAGAGATTTGGCCCTCTAGAAGTCCTACTATTGCCTGCCATTAAGTTAAGCACCATGAACATTAGTCTAACAATTTCTGGATAGCCATAGGTTTCATACAAATTTTTAAAGCCCTATTTTTTTTGCAGCCAAAACACTTACTTCCACAAGAAACTAAAGCTTGTCATGCTTTGTCATAGCAGAAAAAAAGATGAAAATGCTTATAGAGAAAAACTAATTAACCCATCTTATTCCCTCTCTTTGGAAAAAGGCATTTGAAAAGCTTTTTTTTTAAAATATTACAGTATTGCTACTTTTGGATTTTCCTTGCTGCTATATGTTTTTTCCCCCTCTCTGTTAATTTGGCTTTATATTCATATGCTACAAGGGGGCAGGACAGAAACTATGATACGAATACAATGGATGTTTCTTTTAAGTCAATGGCTAATTTTAGAAGCTGTGCTCCAAAACAGCACAGAAACCACTGAAGGGGATGCTTTCAAGCCCCTGCAAGATTTATGATAATAATTTTGTTGACAATTGTCTCCCTTAAATTATCCCCCCCCCCCCCAAAAGAAAAGAAAACAGGCTCTATACATTTCTGGATGCTGAAGGGTTCTAATAGATACTACATATCTTAAGGCTTATTTATTTCAGACCTTCAGCAGAGAGTTTAAGTTCACATTAGAATCTATGTTTAAATCAGTTCAAAATGGAGATATCACAATACAATTTTAAAGTAATATCAAATAGAACTTTGGCTAATAGAGGAATATCAGCAAACTAATACATTAAGGCAGGATGAAGAGCCTATAGCATCATAACAGCAGCCTGGTTTATCTGCAATGAGCATATATGGGAAAAGCTTCAGGTACTGTGCATCTCACATTTATTCAGCAAAGGAATAGGTGTAGTGAAAACACAGATAGTGATGTTGATTCAAACCCAGCTGTGTGTTCATCCAGGCTCCTCAAACCCCAGCATTAAATAGTTAAGTTAAAAAAAGAAATTGGTTGAAGCTTATCAGCAATTGAAAATACCTTACCTCAGTTGTAGAACTATCACTACCTTTTTAACTTATAATGCTGATGTCAAAAATTCAAAAGATGTTTTCAGTCCTGGACAGATTGTTTGCATCACTGCAGCCGTAGCTAACTGAAGGTGAGGATTATCAATTTACTTTGACTTTTTCTGTTTGAATTTAACACTTTAATTGTTGATATACTAATCTTAATTGAATTGAATTGAATTGAATTGATTTTATTTGTAGGCCGCCCTTTTCCCTGAGGGGACTCAGGGCGGCTCACAGAAACCAGGGAGAGGGGAATACAATACAATACAATACTAAAACAACAACACATAATAAAATAATACACAACATGCATACAACATTCGGGCGGGGCAATGGTCCTTATCCCCAGGCCTGACGGGCGAGCCAGTTCTTCAAGGCTATGCGGAAGGCCTGGACGGTGGAGAGGGTGCGGATCTCTACGGGGAGCTCGTTCCAAAGGGTCGGGGCCGCTACTGAGAAGGCCCTCCTCCTTGTGGTTGCCAGCCGGCATTGGCTGGCCGATGGGATGCGGAGGAGGCCTAATTGAATTTAAACTTATCCGTATTGAATGACACCCTGGATTTTAAAGTACAAAATGTGGTAAGGCTTAACTAAATATGTTTTTAAAGTTCTAATCCTTGAATTTATATGCAGGCAACCTTTCCTAGAGATTTCGGGACTGGGCTAATCAGAAGGCAAATATGGAAAATAATTGCAGTAGCACATAAAAAATAACTTCTCCCTATTAGACAGCACACTGGATTTAAAAGAAGAAAGATGTAGTAAAGCTCAGCTAAATATATGTTTTAAGGTTCTAATGTCAGCTTGATATGTACCTGTGAACACAATTTCATGAAATTAAAGGTTTATTCATGATAAAGAATGACTAGATGTGACTGAATAATTAACCCAATAAAAGATTATATATCCTAATCTAGGTAGGAAAAAATAAGGAAATATTTGGAATGCATGTTAGCATGCTCGCTCTTGAAGAGTAAAAATATAATTACCAATTACTATGAACTACAACAAAGATAAAACTGCAAAGTGGGTGAATTTATAGTCTACTGCAGTTCACTACTTGGCAATATGCTAATGTTCTAAAACCCAAAATAACTAAGGATTTAAAATATAAAAATGGATTTTTCTTTTAGCATGTTAAAAAAACTCCTAATACAACCTTTTTTGTGGTTAATTTCAACAGTTTTGTAACTTTACATCTTTCATTAGCAGGTATTTCCTATAACTAAACTAAGGGAACAAATTATGTTTTATACAGAAACATAGAGAATGAAGAGAATATAGAAGGAATTACAATATTCAGGGTTTTTTTAATTTATTTTTTTACTGGAATTTGTCAAAAACGAGAACAATAAGTAGATAATAAAAATACAATGACAAGGACGATAGACACGTTAGTGCACTTATGGACGCCCCCTCTAGTGACCACTTAAGTATGAAGTAAGGTCCACGGAAGTCAATTTCTGACTGAAACTGTGAAGATTTGTAGCTTTGACAACTCTATTACAGAAATCATATTTTTTACGGTCAAGTTTAAAATGGTTTACATTGAGTTTAAAGTAGTTGTTCATGCGCATATTATTTTGATTAAAACAGAAAAAGTCATTTACAGGTAAAACATTATACGTATAATTTTGTATGCAATACCTAGGTCTAAAATACCTATATTTTACTTAATTATATCTCCCTAAAATAAATTAGTGGATAACAGGATAATCTGTCACAAAAAATATATAAATATTTTTAGTTTATAGACTATGGTAATTAGAGTTTACATTAGCTTACTTTTAATAAAATGGTTAAATGTCTTAATAATTTCATGTGTTTATAAATTAATAGTTAATATAAGAGTCCTATGGGCCCTATTTAGGAAAGAGAAATTAAATGAGCAATGTAAACAAAATTTAGACTAAATATATATATTGTTATAAAATGTCTGACTTCAGCTATTGTTAACATAGAAAAATAAAACAAATTTGTTAACATTGTGATATTTTTAATGTTAGACTATTATTTCAGGTCTCTTTGTTGATTCACTGTCTTAAATAAATGGAGAAATAAAAAAATGAATAATCAGGATTCTGCAGAGCTTGCTATTTATAACTGGGCAAAAGCTAACATTGGTTCATGGCAACTTTCCTAACTTCTAAGTAATGGATGTTCTCTCTGGATTCTGACTGACTCCAAAGCCTGGATAATACAGAAGATTTACTTTCCCCAAACATTGCTACCTAGCTAGATCCCCAGGTCCCACAACTATTGGTTAAAAGGCAGAAAGATACGGCAGACTGATAAAATAAGGCAAATTAGTATGATACTGTCACATCAAATATGATTCTCAAAAAAAAAAAAAAATCATTTTTTTTCCTTTTGCAAGTGAGACAATAGCATCCAGAAACAGAACAGCAACAAGAAGTACACAGGACACTTTAGATTAAAGTTGTGTTTACTTGCCAACTAAATGACTTCAGTCTGGATTCAATTTTCAGCAGCTAACCCACATCTGCTCTTTGATCACAGCAAAACACTGTGACCATAGAGATTGAAGAGCCAAGGTCAAAGAAGAGCAAGAACATTAGAACAAATGGAAGATATCTGCTTTGAATTGCCGCACAAG